CTAGGGCATAAAAACCTTGCAATCCAATGCAGAAAGGCAGAATGTTAAATGCATCCTTTTCAGATCATTATACAATAAAAATTACATGGAATAAAGGACCATGGAAAATATAGAAAAAAATTAATAGGAAACTGAATACTTAGGATTAGATTTAGAATGAGTGGGTCAAGCAACAAATCACAGAAACAGTAACTTCATCTAAGAGAATGACAATAATGACACATCATAACTAAACTTATGGGATGCTGCAGAAGTGGTTCTTAGAGGAAATTTTATATCTCTAAATGCTTATATGAATGAAATAGAGAAAAAGGACATCAATAAATTGGGCATGCAACTTACAAAGTTAGAAAAAGAAGAAATTAAAAATCCCCAAATAAATACCAAATTAAAAATTCTGAAAATCAAAAGAGAGTTTAATAAAATTGAAATTATGAAAACTATTGAGCTAACAAATAAAACTATGAGGTGGTTTTATGAAAAACCAATAAGATGGACGAACCTTTGGTTAATTTGATTTAAAAAAGAAAACCAAAGTACCAGTATCAAAAATGAAAAGTGTGAAAAATGGACAAATCAAAAAAGAACCAAACCATCAAGAGGTACTATGGTGACTATGGGAGCTCAAGATGCAGACTCAGAAAAAGGTAATAACTAAAATATAAGCAAGCCCCCAAAATACGACTGTACACAAATTCAACAAAATTCCCTAGAAGAGCCAAAGAAAAAGCAAGACAGTGCTTTCAATAATCAGAGTCTAGAGCAAAAATTAGGAAAAGAAATGAGAGTAATGCAAGAAAATTATGAATGACAATTAACCACTTTGTAAATGAGGCACACATAAAAATACTGAAGGCAATAACTCATTAAAATATCATAACTGTCCAAATGGCAAATGAAACACAAAACCTCACAGAAAAAAACAAAACAAGTTTTTAAAAACGTGAATTGGTCAGTTCAAAGCTAATGACTTTATGAGACATCAAGAAACAATAAAACAAAGTCACATAACTGAAAATATAGAAGAAAATGTCAAATATCTCATAGAAAAAAAAAACTAACCTGGAAAGTAGAGTGAGGAGAGATCATTTAGGAATTATTGAACTACCTGATCAAGAAAAGAACCTAAACATCATTTTCCCCCCCAGAAATTATAAAGGAAGATGACCCAAATATTTTAGAATTAGAGGGAAAAGTTGAAATGGAAAGAACCTACGAATCACCTACTGAAAAAGACCCCCAAATAAAAACTTCCAGGAATCTTCTAACCAAAACCCAGGTCTCTCAGGCATAGTGATTAAAATTATCCAACCTATAATAAGAGAGACTAAGGCAGAGCTCTGAGACAATGTGATTTCTTAAAAAGGTCCATGTGATGAATGTGAACTTCAGATCTTCCTTACAATCTGAGATGCCCCCTCCCTCCAGGGACATATTTTTATAGTGTTAGATATTTAAACATTCAAGAACAGCTGTACCAAATACAGAATAATTCCACTGGTTGACATTTGATGCATAGACTAAAATAAGCAAAACAACATATCAGGGTCACAGGTAACGTAGGAAATATTTTGCCGACTAGGTGGTTATAAAATACATACCTGCTCTTGCTGGAAAAGAGAGAATGGTCTGGAGGTACAAAAATAGTTGGGAGACTTTCCATGTAGTTGAGCCACCTCCATCACACTGGACTTGGTTACCATGAGAAGGAAAAACAAAGGTGGAGGGCCTCTAGCTAGCCTGCTATGATTATGCAAGTGATTATTATATTATTATTAGCTCTGGGGACAAATATATAGAATTTATAATCATAGCAAATTGATACTGATTGGAATAGAGTAGGAGTCTTCAATGAATCAACTTCCTCACAGGTCAGGATCTCACAAGATATCATATAATCAAAGGATATGTTTGGAACATGATATTTTATAAAGCAAAGTAAGTAGGATTGCAACTTAGAATAATCTACTTAGCAGAATGGGTATAATTATACAGGATGGGAAAGTGATATTTAATGAAAGAGGACTTTTAAAAATTTTTTATTTTTTTCTCAATTACATGTGAAAACAATTTTTAATATTTCTTAAAATTTTCAGTTCCAAATTCCTTCCCTTTACTCCCTACTCCTTGACAAGGCAAGCAATTTGAGGGAGATTATATCTCTGTCATCATGTGGAATATTTCCATTAGCTATGTTGCAAAAGAAAACCAAAACCAAAAAAAAAAATCTTGAATAATAAGGAATATTTTGAAAGTATGCTTTGTTCTGCATTCAGAGTCCATCAGTTATTTCTGTGGATATAGATAGGATTTTTTTTTTATCATAAGTCCTTAGGAATTGTCTTGGATTACTGTATTGCTCAGAATAGCTAAGTCATTCACAGGTGATTGGTATATGCCATTATTCTGTTTACAATGTTCCCTTTGTTCAGCTCACTTCACTTTTCATCAGTTCCTATAAATCTTTTTCTGAAACCAACCTGCTCATCATTTCTTATAGTATTCCATCACAATCTTATGCCACAATTTGTTTAGTTATTCCCCAATCATTAAATATCCTCTCAATTTCCAATTCTTTGCCATCACAAAAAGAGCTGGTATAAACATTTTTGTACTTCTAGGTCCCTTTTCTTTTCTTTGATCTCTTTGACATACATACCAATAATGGTATTGCTGGCTGGATCAAAGGGTATGCACAAATGTGATGCCCTTTTAGCAGAGTTTCAAACTGCACTCCATAATGGTTGGATCAGTTCACTACTACACCAACAGTGCATCAGTCCCCTTATTTTCCCACCTCTTCTTCAACATTTATCATTTTCCTTTTCTGCCATATTTGTGGAATATGACTTATGTTGTCTGAGGCAATAAGTGTTTGTTAGATTTCTTGAACTGCTTTCTATCTCTTTTTATTCATTGTTATAAGGGATGATTCTTTGTATAGGGAAGGGGAAAAATAAATTTGGACGTGGGAAGGCAATATAAAAATAAACATATCAATAACTTTTGAAAATACAACCTAAAATTTTGTCAGATAATAAAAGCACTCACAGAGCCTATGAGAATAGTTAGATAGCCTAGTCAATAGAGTGTCATATGAAAAAATGCTCTAAATCACTGTTGATTAGAGAAATGCAAATCAAAATGACTCTGAAGAACCACATCACACCTATCAGATTGGCTAACATGACAAAACAGGAAAATGATAAATGTTGGAGAAGATGTGGGAAAACTGGAACACTAATGCACTGTTGGTGGAGTTGTGAACTGATCCAACCATTCTGGAGAAAAATTTGGAAGTATGCCCAAAGGGCTATAAAACTGTGCATACCACCTCTAGGTCTGTATCCCAAAGAGATAAAAAAAATTGGAAAAGGACCCATGTGTACAGAAGTATTCATAGCAGCTATTTTTGTGGTAGAAAAGAAATAGAAATTAAGGGGATGCCCATCCATTGGGGAATGGCTGAACAAGTTGTGGTATATGCATGTAATAGAATACTATTGTGGTATTAGAAATGAGTAGCAAAAAAAAAAATTAAAAACACAACAAAAATTAAGAAATGATGAGTAGGTTCAGAAAAACCTGGAAAGACTTATATGAAGTGATGCTGAGTGAAGTGAGCAGAACCAGGAGACCATTGTACACAGTTACAGCTACATTGTGCTATGACTGACTTTGATAGACTTAGTTCTTCTCAGCAATGGAAGGAACTAAGATAACTCCAAAATATCCATGATGGAAAATGCTACCCACAGCCAGAGAAAGAACTATGAAGTCTGAATGCATATGGAAGCATATGGTTTGCTCTCTTTTTCTTTTGTTGTTTTGTTTTATTGCTTCATTCTCATGGTTCCTCCCATCGGTTCTAATTCTTCTTTACATCATGAGTAATGGGAAATATGCTTAATATGAATGTGTAAGTAGAGCCTATATCACATTGCATGCTGTCTTGGGGAGAGGGAAAAAGAGGGAGGGAGAGAAAATTTAAAACTGAAAATCCTTATAAAAGTGAATGCTGAAAATTAAAAATAAATTATTTTAAAAAAAAAATTTAAAAAAAAAATGACAAAAGAAACAAGTAGCTTTGTGATCCAGGGCAAGTCATTTAACCTTGTTTAACACTCAGTTTCCTCACCTGTAAAATGAGCTGGAGAAGGAAATGGCAAACAACTCCAGCATCTTTCCCAAGAACACCCCAAATGGGATCAGGAAGAATTGAACAGGACTGAACAACAACACTGCACCTACATTTTCCTGATTCTGTTCTCTTCTGGTTTTTGAAAATTGGAACAATTCTGTTTCTCCTGTTTTATTGAGCCCATCTAAGCAAACGACTGGCGTTCCCCAGGCACAGCTAAACGCTCTCCACGTCTCCTGGTTTCCCTCGGGTCAGTCTCCTTGATAGAAGAAACGGACGCAAAGGGAGCTCTGCCTGGCTCTGCCTTCTCCCCGTGTCTGTGATCCTCGTCCCACGGACCGCACACAGGGCCCGGCCCTTCTTTGATCCTCGGTTTTTCCCCGACATTGCTTTCTCAAAACAGCCCAGGGCAAAGCAAAGTCTTCCGTCGTCCCGCGGTCCCAGCTGGTGGCCTGGGCCTTCAGCCGTCCGGGGCCCACTCGTGTCCTGCTCCTCCTGGAAGCCCCAGGGGGCTGAGCGCGCGCTCCTGCCATCCACCCTCACCCCGTGGTTTCCCTCTTCAGAGCCGTGGCTTCTTGCGTATTGCGTCACTTCCTGCGGGAGGATGCCGGCGCACAGGAAGCATTTCATTAGAGCCGCGGCGTGTTGTGACTTGCTGCCGGACTGGGAGAAACTGCGGGCTGGACTAACCGCAAAACAGCCCCAGGACCCCTCCAGCTCTGAGACCCCACGCAGGACCCCCGTGGGCTCTAGGCCTCGCAGGAGTTAAAGAGAGGAGCGGAGGGGGCGAGGCTTCTGGCAGGAAGGGGCGGGGCAGGCAGGGAGGCAGGACCGCAATCCAGGCGGGGGGGGGGTTTCTATCCGCAGGCATGCGCAGAGGGCATCTTAGCCTCCAGACTACGATTCCCAGAAGGCCGTGTTCGCCTCAGGGGTATTTTCCAAGCTCAAGGGCGGGAGGGACTTCGGCCTGACTACGACACTTCCAACACCTTTCTCTCGGGGTTTTCCCTGCTTTCCGATATCGGCTTCCCCTTCTTTGTCCTGAGCTGAAGTGTGACGGGGTAAGTGGGGCCCGAAAGCGGGAACAAGCCGAGGTGGAGCGGCCTGCGGGGGCGCGGCGGTGTTCCAGCACTGGGGGCTGGCCGGGGAGTACACGGAATGGGAGTCTGGAGGGGCTGGGGTTGGGGGGCGTTGGAGGCGGAGCCGGATTCCAATCCCGCCTTAGACACGCCCTTCACGCTTGACCCTTCAGTCCTCAGTCCTTCTCCCGTGCTAAGAGTCTTAAGGGATCCCCTCCTGCTGTGTGTCTGGTCCTGGGTCCCCATTCCACTTCCGCCTCATCTCCTCCCGGCATCCTCCGGGGTACCCCCTTCTCCGGGAGGCTTCCCTGATGCTGCCGGGGGTCCATGCCCCTCCCCATGCCCCCAAAAGGTGACACCTCTGTGTCCGTGCGGGACTCCCTGGTTGTCTGTCTTATCTCCTCTTCCTCAGAAAGCCTCCAGGGTACCACTTCTTCCAGGAAGCCTTCTGTGCTGCTGGATCAGTGCTCTCTATCTGTTGTTCTGCTTTATCTCTGAAGAGATATTGTCCCAAAGACTCTCCTCCCTGATCTGCACCTCAGGGGAGAAGTGGGACTTTCTAGCCTCTGAGGCGGGGACGCATCCAGCTGACCTGTGTTTCTCCTAATTGTCATTTCCTGTCTAGAGCCTTTGCCTCTGGGGCCTCTGCTCTTCCCAGGAGGCGGTTTCACAGGGTGCAAAAGGGATGGTTCCTGTACTCCTGACAGCCAGGCCTGGAAGGGTGAGTGGGAATTGCTTCTTTCCTGAAATACCTTGTCAGTTTGAAGACCATGGGATACTTTTCTTTCTCATGTAACCCTAGAAATTGTGGGGATCAGAGCATCATACATTCAGAGCTAAAAGTTAACACAGAAATCATCTATTTGTCCTCTCCTTGCAAAGAAATTGTTACATTTACTTTGATTTTTTGTAAGCGTTTTAACATTTTGCGTTCTTCATTCTTTCCCTTCCTCCTGCCCCTCCACCACCCATTGAGAATGGAAGCAATAGGATACATGTTATGTATGGGAAGTCAGGCAGAATATTTGCATATTAGCCATGTTACAAAGAAAAAAGAAGGTAAAAATAAAAGCAAGTGCTTTATATGCTTTAGTCTACAGCAGAGTTCATCAGTTCTCGTAATTGTTTGTCATGAATCCTTTGTAGTTTTCATGTATCTTCTATGGTTCAGACAAGTCTTTTACAGCTAATTATTGGTACAGTATTGCTGTTCCTTTATAGAGTGTTATTTTGATTCTGCTTTGTTTGCCTCAGTTCATGCAAGTTTTTCCAGGTTTTTCTGACCCCCACCTCTGTTTTGGCTAATCTGAGAGGTGTGAAGTGGTACTCTCAGTTGTAGTTTGCATTTCTGTATTATTGATTTAGAACACTTTTTCATTGCATTATTCATAGTTTTAATTTCTTCTTTTGAAAATTGCTTGTTAATATCCTTTGACCTTGTTTTTCTAGTTGAGGAATGGCTTTTATAAGTTTGGCCCAGTTCCCTATATATTTCAGAAATGAGGCCTTTATTTAGAGAATTTTACTGCGTAAATTTTCTTTTTCCATTTTCCTGCTTGCCTTTTTATTTTGGCTGCATTGGTTTTGTTTTTGCAAAGACTTAAATTTCATGTCATTAGAATTATGCATATTACCTCCTGTGATCTTCTGTGTCTTTTGTTGAGTCATAAATTCTTCCCTTGTACATAAATATGACAGGTAAATTCTTTCTACTTTGCTCATGATATCATCTTTTGTGTTTAAATCATATACCCAGTTTGACGTTATCTTGGTATACCCTGTGAGATGTTGGTCTATGTCTGGTTTTTGCCAGACTGCTTTTACAGTTTTCTCAGCAGTTTTTATCAAATAGTAAGTTCTTGCCTCCAAAGCTTGGATCCTTGTTTGTGTTTTTGAATTTGGATCCTTGGGTTTTTGAACCACTGGATTATTATGGTCATTTACCTGTGTATTTTATGTACTGAATCTGCTTCACTGATCAACTACTGTGTTTCTTTGCCTTCACCAGATTGTTTTGACAATTACTGCCTTTTAATATTGTTTGAAATCTGGTCCTGCTAGATTGCTTTTCTGCATTTAAAAAAAATTGATTCCCTTGATATTATTGACCTTTTCTTCTTCCTGATAAATTTTATTATTTTTCCTAGGTGTATAGAAAAAATTCTTTGGTGGTTTGATTGGTGTGGCGCTGAAAAAGTAAATTAATGTAGTTCGAATTGTCCACTTGCCCATGAGCAATTAATATTTCTCCAGTTCTTTAGATCTATCTTTATTTGGGTGAAAAGTGTTTGGTAAATATGTTCATCTAATTCCTGAGTGTGTGAGCAGAACAACTGCCAGGTATTTTAAGCTGTCTGCAGTTATTTTAAATGAAATTTCTCATTCTGTCTCTTTTTTTTTCTTCTTTTTTGGCTAAGCAGTGGGGTTAAGTGACTTGCCCAGGGTCACACAGCTGGCAAGTGTCAAGTGTCTGAGGGCGAATTTGAACTCCGGTCCTCCAGGGCCGGTGTTCTATCCACTGCACCAGCTAGCTGTCCACATTCTATCTCTTGATGCTGGGTTTTATTGGTAACATATAGACATGCTGATCATTTATGTTATATTCTGCAATTTTGCTAAAGTTTTTCATTGTTTCAACCTGGTGTTTTAGTTGCTTCTTTAGAGTTCTCTTAAGTATGCCAACATTTCACCTGCAAAGTATGATGATTTTTTTCCTTGTTGCCTAATTCCTTCAGTTTCTTTTTCTTGTTTAATTAGTGTAGTTAGAATTTCTAGTATAATATTGAATAAAATTGTTGACAATGGCCATCCTTGCTTTCACCCCTGATTTTTTTTGGGAAGGCTTCTAATTTGTCTCCATTCCAGATAATGCTTACTCTTGGTTTTTAATAGATACTACTTATCATATTAAGAAAAGCTCCAGTTATTCCAGTGCTTTCTTATGGCTTTTTTTTTAAAGTAGGAATGGGTGTTATATTTTCTCAAAAGCTTTTTCTCCATCTATTTATGTGATTTTTGTTGGTTTTGTTATTGACATGGTCAGTTATGCTTGTAGTTTTTCTAATGGGTGCGTTCCTGGTATAAATACAGCCTGGCATAATGTATGGTCTTTGTGATACATTTGTTGGAATCTTCTGGTAATATATTCTTTAAAATTTTACCTTGATATTCATTAGGGAAATTGGTTTTGTTTCTTTTTTTTTTTGTCTCCCTGGTTTTGTTACTAAAAAACCATATTTTTGTCAAAGAGTGTCATGCTCCCTCCTCCTTCTGAGGTGAGAGTACAGGCTGTAGCCCAGAAAATTAAGGAAGTTAAATTCTCTAAACTAAGGCTTGCACTGTGAACTCTAAATTCTAATCTATAATTTCTGATTGTTTGAATTAGTATAATTCTACTTGTTAGAACTTCCTTTTCTTTTTCTATATCTCCAATGGCCTTTGATTAAAGCCCTTTAAAAGTACCTCTTCCATATTCTAATCTTATCCTTCTCTTACTTTCTTCTACTTGCTTAATCCTTTAGTCTTTATTTCCCAATCATATCCAAGACTCTACAGACAATCTTCATTTCAGTGAATTTTCCTTTATACTTTAGTACATTTTTATTAGACAAAACCCGTTAATGGTAATACTATCACATGTAGGGGTTCTTAAGAGCTTATAAATGTGTAGTTCATTCCACTTTTTTTGAGGCCTTTTGGACAATTGGCATTGGTTACAGTCACATGGTTTTTATATGTGATAGTCAAATAGACTCCCCCAGCACAACTATAGAGTTTAAGGTCCTGCCTGCTTCCTCCCTGTAGTGTCACTAGTTTCAATTAGTAAGATGACTTTGGAGAAGAAATTGTCTATGTCCCTCTCAAAGTTAACCTCTCCTGTGCTAGAGAAGCATTTATCCACCCATTTCATAGAGGAGTTTACTTGGTAATGACTAGGTAGATCAACCAGAGACCAATGATGGTTTCTCAATTTATAGTCAGTTGTGTAAAATCAACTTTAATTTTAGTGCTGATACTTAAATGTGTAAAGAAACTCATAAGCATCTTTTCTTTGTCTGTGAATGATTATAGTCCCTAATTGCCTCTTCCTTTCACAGAGTTCATGATATTTTCCAGTATTCTACATTATGAAGTTACTGTATCTAATTAAGCAGTTAAGAATTTAATTTTTGTCTTTCATCAAAGAGGACTTAATTTTCTGATGACTTTAAATTGATATAATCTTTATTACATTAATTTTTTGATTAAATTAAATCAGTTAATAGTTGTATAATCACTAATGCTAACAGTTTTAAATTTCAATTTTCACAAGGGCCATTAACTGCCAAGATTTCAAATTTCAGGCCTCATTTTTATCAATTAACTTATGCTTTAATTTTTTTCAAATATTAATTTATTTTTAGTTTTCAGCATTCACTTTCATTTGATTGTGAGTTCCAAATTTTTTCTCCTTCCCTTCCCTCCCCCTACCACAAGATGGCTTGCCATCTGATATAGGCTGTACCTATTTTCACATTAGTCATGTTGTAAAGAAGAATTAGAACCAAAGAGAAGAACCACAAGAAAGAAGAAACAAAAACAAAAAAAAGATTGCAAATAGTATGCTTTGATCTCCTTTCACACTCCATAGTTCTTTTCTGGATGTGGATAGCATTTTCCATCATGAGTCTTTAGGAGCTATCTTAGATCCTTGCATTGCTAAGAAGAAGGAAATTTGTCAAAGTTAATCATCACACAGTGTTTCTGATGCTGTGTACAATGTTCTAGTTTTTCTCACTTCATTCAGCATCATTTCATGTAAATCTTTCCAGGTTTTTCTGAAGTCTGCCTGCTCATTACTTTTTATGGAACATTAGTATTCCATTGCATTCATATACCACAACTTGTTCAGCCATTCCCCAATTGATGGGCATCCTCTCAATTTCCAATTCTTGGCCACCACAAAAAGAGCTGCTATAAATATTTTTGTGCATGTGGGTCCTTTTCCCATTTTTATGATCTCTTTGAGATACAGATCTAGAAGTGCTATTGCTGGATCAAAGGGTATGCACATTTTTATAGCCCTTTGGGCACAGTTCCAAATTGTTCTCCAAAATGGTTGGATCAGTTCACAACTTCACCAGCAATGCATTAGTGTTCCAATTTTCCCACATCTTCTCCAGCATTTATTATTTTCCTGTTTTGTCATGTTAGCCAATATGATAGGTGTGATGTGGTACCTCAGCATTGTTTTGATTTGCATTTCTCTAATCAATAATGATTTAGAGCGTTTTTTTCATATGACTATAGATAGGTTTAATTTCTTCATCTGAAAATGACCTGTTCATATCCTTTGACCATTTATCAATTAGGGAATCACTTGTATTCTTCTAAATTTGATTCAGTTTTCTATATATTTTAGAAATGAGGCCTTTATTAGAGACATTGGTTATAAAAATTCTTTCCTGGCTTTCTGCTTCCCTTCTAATCTTGGTTGCATTGGCTTTCTGCAAAAACTTTTCAATTTCATGTAATCAAAATTATTCATTTTGCATTTCATAATGTTTTCTATCTCTTGTTTGGTCATAAATTCTTCCATTCTCCGTAACTCTGACGGGTAAACTGTTCCTTGCTCTTCAGGTTTGCTTATAGTATCATTATGCTTTAATTAAAAAAAAAATTAACTCAGTTTATAAAGTAACAGTGAGATTACAAGTATAGGAATGTACTTGTGAGCATCAA